CCCTCCATCTGACCATCAGCAGCACCACCAGACCCCCCAGCTCGACGCGTCATCATCTGAGGGCATCAACGGTCTTATTGTAAAGAAAGCAGCAGCACTTGTATCCAATGACTGCACGAGATCGTTCACGAGGACACGGCGGCAAGGACCATAGGGCGAGCTTGCACGATATGAACCTGCGGCTCCTTGCTGTCCAGCACCACCACACCCTCCACGTCCTGCTCCGTCCCTCGCTCCTTGGCCAGCAGCATCACAGCCTTGGCGATCCTCTTGATGAGCGATGAGCGAAGAGCCTCGTCGGTGTGGAGGGGGATAGATGAGTAGTCGATCACCTCCTCCTTCAGCTCCTTCCCCTTCCCGTCCGCGGGCACGAGAGCGAAGGAGAAGCTCGCGAGGGAGGAGACGGCGGCCTCTCCCTTGGACTTGTCGTAGGTGAAGCGATACGGAGTTCCTGCCTGCCCTGCACTTGCCAGCGTCTCTCCCATCCCGACGCACATCTCGATGTAGACCTGGTTGGGATCGCGGGTGATGGGGTTGGAGGAGAAGGCGATGAAGGATAGGTCCCCTGCCACCATCTGCTGTACCAGCACTCCCATCACCGCTTCCTCGTGCTTCAGCCCAGCTGACCTCCTGCTGAGCGCTGCTCGCTTCGTCCACAAGCTCTGCCACACTCTCGAGATGGCAGATGCGAGCGCCTCCTCCTCCTTCACCTCCACGTTCGCGATGGAGTCGTACAGCCCAGCTCCGCTCACCTTCTGCAGGTCCTCGCAATTCGCGCTTGAACGCACCATTACTCGCGCGTCAGCTGGGAACGATCGCATGATCGCACTCGTCACGTCCTTGGGCACCTTCCACTCCGACGATGCGAACGATCGCATTCTCGCCGCCAGCTCCTCCGCCAGCTGCCCTGACGTTGCCTGCGCGTCGAACTCCTTGGCCTGCTCCACGTATCGCCCCCAGCTGGGCTTGGCAGCTTTCATCATGACTCCGAAGGGCAGGGCACAGCCGGGCGGAGCCTTGAAGTCAGCTCCTCCCTTGGCTGCGATCCTCGAGATTTCCCCGGCGGCTGCCGACTTGGCTCCACATGTCTCCTCCGACGCCTTCTCGCACGCCAGGACCTCCGAGACCGTCAGGTCCGCGTTCGACTGCAGGTCAACCACTGCAGCCGCCTCCTCCTCCTGCCCCCTCTCGGGCCTCAACTCCGTGCGCGACACTGTGACTGAGCCTCCGACATTCACGTTGAGCTCCACAAATTGACCCCAGCTGGAGCCTTGCTTGCCCTTGAGCTCCTTGAACGCCTCAGGGCCATCGCTGCAAACGAACACAACACCCTGCTGCCTTGCCCGCACGCCCAAGTGAGAGAGGAGGGGGAGTTCCTCCGCCAAGACGATGCCCTTCACAAACGGCGGAATATCTTCATCTCCCTGCTCACAGCTCAAGGTCAACAACGGAAGAAGAGGAGGAAGGGGGGGAGGAGGGAAGCAGAGCAGGAAGGAGGTTCCCGAAGGGATAAGAGGGACAGCCATGTTGGGAGGGGAAGGAGGAGGAAAGAGAAGATGGGAGGAAGGAAAGGAGCGTCAAATCGCAGCACCTCTGCATGCTCCAGGAAGGCAATCAGAGGCTCCGTTTCTCCTCCCTTGTGATGATCCAGCAAATTGGCGAGACTTTGATGCTCCACCAGCCGCCCCGCTGCTTTTCCAGGCTGCAGGGCCGCCCAGGGAGGAGCGTTCATGGCCTTCTTGGCGAACTTGATGGAGGCTGTAAGGATGCGGGAGAGCTGGAAGACGACGCTTGCTCGGACCTCCGCCTTGCAGGGGGCGAGAGACGTTAGAGGAGAGAGAAGAGAGGGGCAGGCGCTACCTCGACGAAGACAGCAGCAGCGTGAGGGTCAACCTGAAGCGAATTGCCGAGCGGTCCGACGTGGGCGAGGAAGAGGTCCTGCATGGCGTCGGAGAACGAGGTGCACAGGCGAACTGCGAGAGGGTGAGGAAATTGTCTTGTTCCGCTCTCCTTATGACTCACTTGAGCGATCTAGCCAGGCCTTGAGCCGATGGAGGTTGAGGGAGGAGGACGAGAGCATCGCTTCTCCCTGTTGACAACCCAGTGAGCGATAGCTGGAAGCGCAGGATTCATCGCTACCTCCTTCCTCAACGCTTCTGCTTCTTTCACATCCACGGACTCGGAAAGGTATCCGTTTTCAAGCGCGCCTATCGCCGCCTCCACTGCCATCTTCCAGTCCAAGTTCGCTCCTTGTCCTTCTAAGATCTGAGCTGCCTCGGCCAGTAGCACAAAGGCAAACTGAGAGCAAGTGAGAATAGCAGTAAAATCGATCTCCGTGAAGAAGCAGTGACGGGATCCTCGTCTCAACCGTCTGCCTGTCTTCTTACCTGCTCCAACGAGACGTCGGTCAGTCTTGCTCGCTGCTTCGCCTCGCCATGTGGGACAGTGGAGATGAAGGAGTCAAAGTTCTTTCTGAGCTTGATCAGCGCCTTCAACTTCGCACGGAAGTCTGAGCTCGTCCTGTTTCCATCGTGGTACAAGCAGAAGGCAAAGTTCAGACGATGACGCGTCAGTGAGCAACATTCGTACCTCTTCTGCGACAAGAACTCATCTATCAGCTTGATTCCTTCCGCATTTGGTTCTCCCTTGCCCTTCATCTCCGTGAGGCGATCCTCGAGCCCACCAGCATTGAAGAATTCTCTCAGCTCAACCTGCCTCAATCAATCAACGCGGGCTAGGCCCTTTAAGAGGTCAAGAGACCATGAAGATGCGCATCTGCTCCATGAAGGCCGCGCTGTAATGTCCTGATTCTGCCTGCTTCATGATCCGTTCGGCAGTCACGAGGTCCTCCTGCAAGGGGCGTCAATGGCATGGCAATGGCGTCGAAATGGCAACCGGGCCGGCACATCTGTGCAGCTTGTTCTGCAGGTTGTGCTTGATGTCGTCTTTCATTTCCTTTGGAATGTCAGAGCGATGGGCAATGTCTCGGATCCTTGTCAGGGGGACCTTTCGACACCATCACACAGAGAGCAAGGAAAAGAAGATTTAAATTGCACTTGAGCTGTGTAAGCCGACGAATATGACGGGAGGAGAGGATGAATTTTGCGGATCACTATCATGACAGTCAGGGAGCAGACGAAAAACGAGGGATAGAAGTTACCGTAAGCATTTTCAGGAGTTTTTTTAATCTTGTCAAGCGCCTCGTCGATCGCACTGCAGATAGACGAATGTTACAATCATGCGGATAAAAACAGCAAGGCGGAGTGGGACAGATGAGAAAAGATTCGATGCGGAGTGCACAAGATAAGGAAGACTTCATGCCTGGCCATCATTGAATGGTGGTTCGGCCGATAATGCCGCCCATCCTCTACGCATGTGACCTAGAAGGAGGGAGGCGAGGCGAGGAGGAGGAACCAGGGAAGAAGGGGGGAAAAAAATGTCACAAACCTTGCTAACATCGCATGCCGATTTGGGCGGTTGTGCCCTCCCACATCGTAACAAGGAACCTAATCTTTCTACTCAATCGCTCATCACATTCTTGTGGATCGGAGGAGAAATGAACAATCCTCTTCTGGAAATGACAACTGAAGCTCTGTTGGCTCCAGGTTGAAATCACCTGCCCCGTGCTGAGGAAGTGCAGGTATATGGCGATCATCGCAAGGTGGGAAGTTTCCGGTTCTTGCTGATTGAAACCAGATGCCGTCGCAAGATCTAAAGGACTATTCAGTACCACCAGGAGTGCATGGATCTGAATCACTCTTATCGTAGAAAAGTGTCTTCACAAATTCCAGCTTCTGCCGCCATGATCCCTACAAACATCAATGGCATCAGATATTGTTCGATGGAGGCAATAAGATTCTACATTCTCTTGGTTTGCCTTCACGATCGCAGCACCAAACTTGTCAAGCTCTTTGGAAGTTATCTGCCAGTCGACATGCCCTGCAAAACTTTGACCTTCCCTTCTTGACAAAACTCAGAACCGACCCGAAGGCTTATGGTCGTCCCTCTTGCTCGTTCCGTGGCTTCTCTCGATCTGAAATGGAAAAGTCAAGACGGAACAGGCGCCATATGTGACGAATGAACAACAGCAAAGCTGCAAACAAAAGTACTGATGATGCCACGAGTCGTGATCACCTTGCTCGACGAATGCGAGTGGCTACCGGATCCTCCAGCGTCAATGCCGACGGGAGAATCGTGAAATTCTCCCTTTGAGAGCACGTCCGATGTGACCTTGGGGATGGTGACCTTGATAGGCGAGCAAAGAGCACAGGAGTAGCCACCGTCAGCTTGCGATTCGACGAGCTTCCTTGTCCCTCCCATCGCAGGACCTTCCCTGAGTCACCAATGATGCAGTACCTGAGAAAGAAAGCAAGGTCAAACCACACAAAGGTGAGGTCAATCCATAGGTTTTGAACGTCAAGACGTGGCGGGTGATCATGAACGGCAACGACCAGGCTCGAAGAAACACTCACTTGTACTCGATGTTCTCGCCTTCATTCAACGAAACGCTTGCCTTCCACTTCGGAAAGTCTGAGGAGGCGATGACGGCAGGCGATATTCCGATACTCTCCTCGCTCACCTTTTCCATCCATCTTGATAGGGTTCTTCCATCGCCCCAAAGAATCACAGGATCCCACAAGACCTTCCAATCTTAGTCTCAGCTCACGACTATGAACCAAGTTCTTCACCAACACACTCCCCGAACTTCGTGCTGTCGCAAGTCGTGACAAACTTCACGTTTGAGCCGCCGCCTCGCAGGTTTCTGTGACGGGGGAAACATTGTTGAGTCAGAGGATAACGACTTGGAACATCGGCTCACAGTCTGCTGCTGGAAGAAACTGCACTCCCCGGCTGAAATCGCCATCGGAGGCTGTCGCTGCTTATCTCACTGCATGAGCACTTTGCGAGCAGGAATGAAACCAAGAGTGCCAGGGCTCCGGCGATGAAACTTCGCATTTTCGGTCTGAATGAGCACAGTCAAATAGCCGGTTTACCAAGTTGAATGACAATATCTCTTCATTTATCACACACTCATCTTCCATCACATTCCATAGTCTATCACAAGTGTTGTCTTGTCTCCCCTCCTTCTCCTGGACATCGTCATCAACTTGTGCATCCTGCCTCTCGTACATGTGCTCCTTCTCCTGATCCTTCCCCTGATGCTCCTCCTCGTCATGCTCCTGCTCCTTTGTCTGTTCCTCCTGCATTCTTGCGTCCTTCCAGCATCACCCCACCCCATCAGATGATGATCCTGTGATGACACTACCCTCATATCTAACTAAAACGTACCCGTGATTACATGTAAAAAATACTACCCCACCCCACAGATCCTGACAAAGATCCGATTAGGGAACGCGATGGAGGAAAAGCAGTGAGGGAGAGAAAAAACAGCAAGGAATGTTGCTGGTAATCTTCATGACAATGAATAGAACTGAGCATTTTTGCGAACAAGCTTGACTTCAGTGCTGAATGTGTCAGGATTAGGAAGCAGGAGCTCATTCAGGAAAGTATGAGATGCAAGCTCCCTTCGTACTCCTCAAGGTGAACAAGGCATGTGCTGTGATGAAAGACAAGTGCATTACAGGGGATTCGAACAGAGGTGATAGAGAAATGATTGGTGAAAGGGGAATCATGAAAGTGAAGGTCAAGGTCGATCACTCAAAAGAAGTAACATTCTCGATCCTACATCATCCGGGCAAGAAGAGAAGGAATCGCTACGGATGATCTCCAATGGGTCGAAAGAGAAGAGGTGTACGCCAAACACTGAGTCATGTGGTACATACAATCATCTAAATTAAATCGTCTATAGCGCATAAAGAATAACTCCCGGGGTTGCAAAATCATTGTTCAACCAATTTCCCAAACTCCCTTTCCATACCTTCGAAAGAAGGTCTTGCCATCGCATTTCTGTCCCAGCAGCTGGAAATGATTTCATTCACATCCTCACCACCGTTGTGAGGATTTCCCAACGTGCTCCCCTCCTGCAACACTGCTTCTCTCACCTCGTGATCTGATTTCATCTGGTAAGGCATGTCTCCGTCCGACCACATCTCCCACAGCACCACACCGAAGGACCAGACGTCGCCGGGCACGGAGAGCAGACCAGTTCGTAACACTTCAGGAGCCATCCATCTTATGGGTGTCGCTATCTGCACCGTATCCCCTGTGGCTCCTCCGAGGCTCTCCGCGCCCCTCAGGATCTCGAAGAGCATATAGTCTCCAACCTTCACCTTCGTCTTCGTGTAGTCCGTCGGGTCGAAGGACTCGACGTGGATGTGCTTGGCCGCAAGGTTGCCATGAATCACTCCACAACAGTGCAAGTGATGCATACCAGAGCAGATCTGCCTTGCCATCTGCATCATGTTCTTCGTGTGCGTCTCATCCTCCTCCTTGTCTGCCAGCTGAAGCAGAGAGTCTAGAGTTCCCATCGAAAGATTTTCCACCACCAAGAGAAGCTCCCTCTCCAACACTGACGAAACTCCGATGATGTCAAGAACATGATCGTGCATTTCAAGATTATTGAGGCGATTCAGATCTGAGTTGACTCGGGCAAGTCGCCAGTCTTGCATGTCACACAAGGAAAGCAAGGTGACTCGCTTGGACACACCCTCTCCTGAGACCAGTTTCGCGAATCTGAATGTCTTGTAGTTTGTAAATCTGAAGGGTTCGGTCACATCCGAAAAATCCTGAAATTCAATCAGAGGAAACGAATGCATCTGAAGCCCGCTTCCACGGGGTAAAGGTGCTGTTGGCATCTGAAACTCTTGAGGAGAAATTTGTCTGTTCACTAGGGACGTCTGATTCCATGGACGGAGTGGCCCGGGTGCATAGGCCAGCTCTGAGGATGTTTGTGCAACCATCGTTTGCGTTTGAGCTCGAGCAGGGAGTTTCCTCAGCATCAGCAGCAGGATGAATAGAATCACCAGCGCTGACGTCGCCCCCACAATGACGACGGTCAAGGAACCTAGCGGCACCCACAGGCACGAATCCGATTCAGGCTCAGCATACAGCATGCCGGGGAAGCAGCGCCTGCACGACACCGAGGAGGTTCCATTGGGAGGAGCGAAGTAGCCCGAGGGACAGGAGAAGCAAGAAGTCGCAGCCTCCGTCCTGGAGTACGTCCCGCTAGGGCAATTCTGACAGACCCCTTGACTCGAGTTGAGGAATGTGCCAGGAAGGCAGGCTAGGCAAGATCCACTGGCATTGATCATGTATCCTTCCCTGCACGTCGTGCAAGTTGTTGCCGCAACACCCGAGTACTTTCCTTCTGGGCAGCTCCGACAAAACGTTGCTGATGTAGAGGTCTGGAACGTTTGTGCCGAACAGTTCTTGCAAGTTCTGTCTGGTGTCAAATATTGACCTGGCAGGCATGAAGGCGCAAAGAAGAATTGCCGGGATTGCACTGTCTTTATCCCTCCCATTAGGTCGCCATAGCTTTCTGAGCACGACGTATCAAGTGTGCTCGCCTTCTGATCGATACAAGACAACATCTTTTGATGTTCAAGAGCATGCATTGGATCTGAACCGACCACTAATCGGATATACAGTAACAGCGTAATAGCTGTCTGCATAGATCCAGGCATCCGAGGCTTGAAAGGTGATAGACCAGTTACAGACGGCATGTTGCAGTCACACTAGCGCAAGGAACTGATCATCTTGGTTCAGAATCGTTCTCCGGCAGGTCTGCAAAGAAAGATTCAGTCGCTGCAAATGAAAGATTGATTGCAATATTCACAATCAGATTTGTTTTCAATGGATGCAACTTATGTTTAAACCCAGGACACCAACTTTTCCTCCCTGCTCCGACCACTTCGGTACAACAAACTGCCGAGCATCTCAACAGCTCACTCGTTTGCTTCCTCTACTACGCTCGCTCGCTCCATCAATTGTCACTTCTCCTGAATGATTTGGCAATAACATACATCACCTCATGTTTCCTCCTCGCAACTCTCTCATTCTCATCACATCATAGGAGGCGCAGCTGAACAAACCTGCGGCATTCCGGCTGAAGTGGTTCAATCGAGTCCACCCCTCCCCTTGACCCCCTACCCCCCTATATACTACCGTTATCACCCTATTACCCCACATCCGTCTATAGTACCCACCCCTTTTTCTCTATTCAGACAAAATGGCAGGTATTGGGTCGTACCTACCCTCATCGATCCCCTCTTCAAAAAACCCTTTCCCCCGACTACCCCCGACGAGAATATACCACCCTTGTGTAGATTCTGAAAAATTTCCATCACACCCCTCCTATTCCGTCTAAAACTACCCATCCTCTTAGTTCTTCTGGACGACCCCTGGGTCTATCTTCTACCCCACCGGTAGTTACCTACAGCTCCTCCGATCAAGGACTACTGTACCGCTACAGCTGCTCGGAAACCTCTTGACTACCCCTCGTCACATTCCTACCCCTCCTTCGGCTGGGTGATCAGGTCCCGCCGTAAGGGACCAAAACACTGTCAAGTCCCCTACCACCCCTACCACCCATCTGCTCAGTGCAAACCTTGCAGATTCCAAAAACCACCCCCTGTTGGGGTCTTACACCCCGCCTACTACCCCTGACCCCCACCCCTGCCCAGGATGCTGCCATTTACGGTGGTGCGGTCACCAGCGACTTTTGGTCACCAACCGACTGACGCTTTTACACCCCGTTTTTCCCCATGGACTACCCCCCCTCATAGGATCATTTTCTATGATCCTACCAGTCGGACATCCCGAGTCCCCCATGGGTACCCCACCATATTTTTTTAAAATTGATCAGACCCCGCCACGTCCTCGGCATGCCTCCATCTCCCCCTGGTTTTTGCCCGATAATCCCACTAGTATATATACTTGCCATCAGCCCAGGCTTCCGTTGCCGCTGACTGAGTTTTAAAACATGATAGAGTACCCCACCCCCCACGTAATGTCCGCACTGCGGCAAGGAAATGCCGCCAGGACGGTACCGGGCCCTCCGAACTCCGGCATTCGGGATCCGGCGATTGAGTCGCGTCCGACTAGCCGGAATGGCGATGATGCGGCCGCGGCCGCCGGAGCCGGGCCGGGCCGGTCACCCAGGTGCCCCCCGGGCGCTGTCACTGTCACAAGTTGACTGACCGGTGACCCTACCGGACGCGCCCGTTCGCCGGAGGCTCCGAGGGTCACCAGGCCAGTCTTAGGCAGAGATCACCCTGTCATCATCTAGAATCGGGTACTATCAGGCTCGCCGGAGCATGAGCGGCAGTCAGTGATCTCCGACTAGCCGCGGCGCTCTTGTGAAAACTGCCGCATATACATCGGAAACTGATAAGTACTTCAAGTTCCGAGGCTTACTACCAACGCCGTGCCAGACTCCGGCGACATGGCATGATGGCGCTGATGAGGCTCAGCAACACACGAGGCTCTATCAAGACTCTTTCACGACTTTTTAAGTTCAACATGAGAGCTATCCGGTGGCATTGAAGCTCAACTCTTCCACCCGAATGGCTCAATGGCATTTGTTCGGCTCACCTATTATACAACTCCATCTTCTGTACCTACCTTGCTTCGACCGCTGAATTCAAGTGATGTGCAATGTGCAACGCTATTTCTTATCCATATTTCCTTCCAGCCTTCGAATCCTTTAATTTCTGATTGGAGCTGCTTTTCTGTATCTGACCAACTCAGCTGACATTCCCTCCACCATAACACCAAGATACCAACGGAAGTAGTACTCATTCCGAAGAAGAGCCCAGCGCGAGTTCTATCATACTTCAACAACGTACCCTGTTCTCCTGAGTAACTCTGAAAACAGATGTCGAATAAATTCGGCAGGACGCCAAAAAGAATCGTGAAAAACGAGATGGAAGCCAATCTGTACCGTTTTTTCAGAATCAATTCGTAACAAGCTCCTATTGGCGAAACGTCCCCCGCTGCCAATGCTGCAATGGAAGTTTCTAGCAGGTTCATGAACACTCCAAGTCTGTAGAGAATTTCTGCTAGGTTGTCTTGCTCCGGTAATGACGGCTGCCCCAGACACACGGCTACTATTGAAGAACAGAATGCAATGGAGGCGCTTATTACATGAGGTTTCCCTTGGGTGATTTCAGCAAAGCATTGTCCCAACGCAAAAATGAGACACGCGGAAAGAATCATCAATCCCGCAATCTTCAGGTCAAAAGGTGATTTGGTTATCAGCAACGTTTGAATCAGGACAATAGTAAGTAGAACGTTGTACGCCTGCATTGCCCTCATCTCACCGAAGAAGGAACCGCATGACATTATGCAGAATAATTCTATCAAGATGTTCCACAACTGAACATAATTGATCCTAGAACTTATGTTCGCAAATTCAGTTGTATCAGCATCCGTCGAATTTTGATAAAAGATTTGAAAGCAGGCAATTGCAGTAACGATTTCTCGTATGATACCCCGAAGTGGAAAATGATACAACCTTCTCTTCAAGTATTGAATGGTGTCAGCATACCCAGCGCAATTATCCCACAAGGTAACAAACAGCTGCGCAATCAACAAAATCACCCAGGGAACCAATAAAATAGGAACCAACAATTTGAAAAGAGGTGTCTGGTAATTATGTTCTCCTCGTGCTTCAGTTTCCTGCGACATATAAACAGCTTGATAGGTTGCGATTGCTATTGCTGCTGCGATTGTCCCCACAGCAATCTGTGCTCCTAGATTATTGTTACATTTCTTCATGCAGTCGTGCCTGAATGATAGCTGAAACCCTTTTGATTCCGATGAATTAGGGCCGAGTGAAACCAAAACCCTTGCATTTCCTGTTGGGATCAGTATCAGCTCTTTGTTGGATCTGTTCGTGTACTGCCAATTAAGTTACAGTCATGTGCTGAAGCGCAAGACTGAACTTGTAGGCTATCCACAGCGACGTCTAAGTTGATTGACGACATATAAATCTTAAGCGTGCTCCATGCAGGTTTGCCAAATAGAGTCCAATTACAAGTGAGATTACTGTGATTACTGTCCATCGTTATCGTTCCCGCGAATGGAGATAGAATCGCGCTGTCAGCATAAGGGAACATTTGTTGGCAAAGACAATCTATACAGCTGCTTGAGCCGTTGCGAGTGCAAAGCGGGCATAAATTGCAATACGAGGATCCCTGTTTATCAGTGTAAGTGCCAGTTGGACAATCTTTGCAGTACGTGGATCCCTTGATGTCTGCATAAGTGCCAGGTGAACAGGATTTGCACAACGTGGATCCCTTCGTATCTGCATATGTACCAGCTGGACAGCCGTGGGCACCTTCACTTGCATCCACCAGCAGGCAGCACAGGAGACTAGCAAGCAGCTTCTTCCTCCTCCTCTCGTCGCTCATCGTTCTTGCTCGTCAAACCTGAGGGCCTCTGCTAGGAAGTCAAGGCTAGGTAGGAATTGTATTCATTTTATTTCACTCAAATAAATACCAACCCGCCTCAGACTGGAAGGTCTTTTATCTTTTACTCAAATTATTCAGTACTGGACCCGGAAGGTGTGAGTACCCCTTCTTATCAGCCTGACAGTTTTTTCGGGATCTGGTGGGGTAGTCGCTCAGGGGGCCATGCAATCCTGGAATGCTGGAAGTGGAAGATGACGGCGAAGCGAAGGTGAGAAAGAGAGGAGAGGGGAGAGAGGAGAGAGGAGAGAGAGGAGAGAGGAGAGAGGAGAGAGGAGAGAGGAGAGAGAGGAGAGAGGAGAGAGGAGAGAGGAGAGAGGAGAGAGGAGAGAGGAGGAGAGAAGAGAAAGAGGATAAGAGGAGGTAACAGTGGAGAGAATGGAGCAAGAAGGTGATGGAGAAGATAAGAGAGGAGGATGAAGGGAGATGCGGTAAGAGAGGAAAGGGAGGAGGGGGAGAGGGAGAACGAACGGAGGAGAGGAAACAGGAAGGGGAATCAAAGATAAAAACCGATGTTATATGGGACAAGAAGTCATTGGGGAGGTAGAGGGATTAACGAAATGTAAAGACTGCGAAGGGAGGAGAATGAGACTAGGAGAATTCACTACTGAAGTCAAACTAAAGGAATACACACGAGATCACAAGAAGTTCATAGAACACTCTTCACCATACGTGCTCATCGCAGCTCTGACATAGAGACTGAGGGCAATTTGTTGAACTTATCCAGCAGATGAGAAAGACAGAGAGGAGACGAGCGGCCTCATTGAGGAGGTTCTTTTAATCTCTCAGCTTGCGACCTCTCTGACTTCAGGAGGAAGAAGGGTCAAGCTCTGCTGTCTTCTCCTTGTATCTAGTGCCTCCATCGCTCAGGTCGCGCACGGCTGCAGCTCTTCTTTCCCCATCCCGTCCTCAAGGTCTGGCAGGTCTTCGCCCTCGAGAAGCCAGCGGTGCATGTCCGTGCGTGCGAGAAGAACAAGCTTCACGAAGTGATCAACAAGTGAGGACTTCTCCCTTCCCCATCTCCACATCCTCCTCGGCCAAGTCCTTTCTGACCTCGTCCTCGTCCTCGTCCTCGTCCTCGTCCTCGTCCTCGTCCTCGTCCTCGTTCAATCTCCTGACCGACTGCGCAAGGTTGGAATTTGAGCACTCCAGCTCAGTCTTCTTGACTGGAGGTCAGAGCGTTCGAGGAGAGGGGTGATAGAGGGTTTACAGCAGGCAGGGCAAGAGATCGTCTGCGAGCCAGGGACCCATCAAGTGGCTGAGCCTGAGGAGATACGAGGACGTTTGCGGTTGCGATCGCTACGAGGTAGGATGCTGGACCGGCTTGCACCTTCCCCCCCCACAACCCCGCATCCTGCTGCTGCTGCTGCTGCAACGTGTCAACCACTACCAACTTCATTCTTCTCCCTTCCTTTCTGAAAACCTTGTGTTGTTTTCCCTCAACAGCAGCGGATGCCTCCACAGCGATCGCAGGGTCATGGAAGCTCCTTCCTGGAAGCCATGGCCGGTTCAAAGATGTGGTCACGCAGCAGGAGGTAGCGAAGAGGTCGTTCGTCTTCCTGGTAGAGGGAGGGAGGTGGAAGTGGAAGAGATGCGAGCTGAGCATGAGGAGGAGGAAGGACGATGAGAACTTGCCGGCAGCTGGGCAGAAGCTGGGGAGAGCGGGCAAGAAGAGCGCGTATTGCACTGTGATGAGCGTCATGGGGAACGCGGACACATCCCTGGTTCAGTGCGACATCTCTGCCCTCGTGGAGGAGGAGGGGGAGAAAACTCCAACGAGCGGGGATCAGCGAGCTGACCAGCAGGAGGAGGACGAGGGCAACGGGCAAGCGCTGCACGAGGAGGGGGGGGGTCAGGAGGGGAACAGAATGTTAGGAGCGTTCCCCATCGTGGGCGTTCGGCTGGCCGAGACGTCAACGTGCAGCATCAAGCAGTGCGATCTCAACGGTTTCCTGGTGAGCTGAGAAGTTTGATGACTAGTTTGACAAGTGACCCACCATCCTCTCACAGCGAGCTTGTTGCCTGCACGACTCCAGCTGCATCTCAGCAACCTACTGCGCGTTCAAGCAGAACAAGGAGTGCTTCCACTTTGAGGTGCCTCGCCCTCTGCTCCTCCCCCAGCAGCCTCTCTTCCCTCATCTTCCTTCCTCGCCCTCCTCCATCCTCCTGCTTCTCCTCTTCCTTTCGCTCTCGACAGGCTTCTTATCTCCTCCATGGCAGGTGGAGACTCGAGCTAACATTCGCCGATGCGTCTTCGACCAGGCCAACCACGCTGCTCTTGCCTGCCAGTATGATCTTATCTCACCCTCCTCCCCCCTTTCCCCCCTCCCCTTCCCCCCCCTCTGTTTCTGCTCCTCTCTGATTCAGCGGAAGGTACTGGTGTCCTCCTCCCGAGACGCTCGAAGCAAGCGTCGCTCAGACGGTCAGCAGCAACTTAGGATCCTTCATCTCCAGCAGGATCTTTCCGCTGCTTGCCACCTGTCTCCCACCCCCCATCCTGGACAACTTTTATGGCGAGGAGCAGGTCCTTGCCTTCTCCCACCCATCCCTTCTCTCCCTTCCCCATCCTCCTCCTCTCCAACTCCCTCCCCCCCACCCCCCTAACCTTATCCCTCCCCATCCTCCTCCTCCCTAAACCCCTCCCCTCCCTGCCGCGCTTCCACCATCGTTGGCGTCCTGTTGGGCTGACTTCTCCTCTAGATGGCAAGACCTCCCGGCCTTGTCCTCACCTTCCGCCACAACTACGTCTGGTGTCCGACGTGGAGCCGCGGCGTGTGACGTCACTTGTACATTAATGCAGAGAGAGTAAGTCAATACACGAGAGTCAATCTCTTCGCCCCGGCGCCCACGTCAGTAGACGAAAAGCTTCGGGTCACATCCTGTTGCCCCGGGGCCCGAGGGCGGCACTGCAAGCAAGAGGATCAGTACGAGGAGGAGGAGGAGGAGGAGGAGGAGGAGGAGGAGGAGGATCAAGGGAGGAGGAGGAGGAGGAGCAGCAGCAGCAAGGGAGGAGGAGACGTAAGGGGAGGATGAAAGTAGGAGGAGGGGGAGGAGACGGCAGTGGGTGGGGGCTGGAGGCCTCTATCCCTACCGTTAATTGGTCTCCTCACTACTTGACCCTGCATGCTGACGTCATCCGACTGCCTGACAGCCACACGTGACTTACCCGCTCGTCCGTTCTCAGCTCGAGCATCGAGTTGTCATAGGCGTCCGTGTCTTCTTTCTCTGCAGAAGGGCCTCAGCTGGAGGGAAGGGAGAGGTGGATGGCAGTTGGAGGTAGAGGAGGAGAGGCAGACCGAGGAGAGGAGCCGGCAGGTCCATCCCGTTGGACGTGGCGTGGAAGTGCCGGACGGGACGGGTCCCAGGAGACGTCTCGCGAGCCTTAATGAACTGCTCGTGCTCGACTTGAATCTGTAGCAGAGTCATCGAGAGAAGGAGGAGGAGGAGGAGGAGGGAGAGGAGGAGGAGGAGGAGGAGAAAGGGAGGAGGAGGAGAAGGCTGGGGCACCTCCGAGTTCAGATGAGCCAGCAGGACGTCGTCGGTCACGATGTATCCCGTCACCTTCCCGTTCACGTCTCGCTGCCCCATCGCGTCAGCGCAAGTCCGACGAGTCGAGGGTTCAAGTGTTCACACACCTGCTGGTAGCCATACAGCTCGAATTTCTTGTTCGTCTGATAACCCAAGAACAACCGTCAGGTCACGCACATGACTCCTCCTCCTCCTCCTCCTCCTCCTCCACCATCCTCCTCCTCCTCCCCCATTCTCCCGCTCCTCTTCATCTTTCTCCTTCCTCTTCTGCTTCTGCTCTCCTCACCATCTTCGGATCTTCAGCAAAGTGATGTGCTCTGCTCCCCTCGGGCGGCTCCCTGGCATCCAGTCAAAATCTCTCCAACACATTTCCCTCCCCACCCCTTCCCTCCTTCCCTGCCCTCTTCCCCCTTGCTCTTCCGACCTCCCATCCCTCTTGTCCTCTCCCACCCTTCTCCTCACCTCAGGAAGGGAATGCTGCCTCTTTCTAGCGTTGGCCTGCGGGAGCAGGTCAAATCTCACAGGTAGGAGGCAGAAGCTCCGACCTCGACCAAGTGCAGGATCTGCAATCAAAAACAGGGACCGGGGACGCTACCGTATCTCCCTGCCCACCAAGTGTCAAGCACGTACGAGAGGAAGAGCGAGAGAAGGAGCAGGAGAAACGAAAAGGTGGTGTTGAAAGGGGGGGAGGGAGAGACGGGATGAGCAAAGGGAGGAGGAGGCGATGGTTTCGCGCTCGGACGACCTGCAAGGCAGGGTCTGCCAGGTAGTTGTCGATCTCAAGGTATCGAGGAGAAGAAGTCAAGTCGAAGAGCCGGGGGCACTCGTGGGCGACGGCGAAATGCAGGTCAATGCCATGATGCCCGATACCCTAGGGCAGGAAAAGAAGAGAGAGAGAGAGAGAGAGAGAGAGATCACCAAAAAACCGTCATGTTTCTCGCCCCTCACCTCC